ATTAGCACTGTTTCTGGCACATAGCAGGCACTCGATAAATGTTAATGGCTCTTTGTTCAAAGGATTTTCTTCCTGATCATCTTGTTCCCCCAATATCAGTAAAACTATGTACATAGCATAGCTTAGTTAACAGAGCTTAATGTGAACAAATTTATCATTTTGAATGGAAGCTTCCTTGTAACCAGTAATTCTACTAACCTGTCCCGTTAAGTCTTTTTTCCAGTGGGAACCTCTAAAATAGAAAAATTGACTTACTTTAATTTTTACCCATTTTCTCCCATACTGGTAAAGCTGTTAAATAAAACAGTAAGAGGTAGTCAAACAAGAGTTTGAAGGAGCATTTAAGGGCAAAGAATAACAGTCAGACATAATGCTGTAATTCCATAGACACTTGATTTTTAGTTGTAGCTATACTGTGTTGTAGTATAAACTCACCAGACTGGACCCAGTTGGATCTTTCCAGCGCTCCTTGTTATAGCCAGTTCTTATTGGCTCTAGCAGATATCAGTGTCTTGTCCTATTTAGGAGTCAAAAAGCAGCTTTGAAAATAAGTATTACAGTTTAACAGCTTACATTATGGTTTGCCAGTTTGCTACCTTCCCAAGCCTTGTTGGTTGTAGACCTCCTTCCCCTCCCTCCTGCTCCTTAGCATGTCTTAAATACGTTGTTGTAGTTCCCATGCTTCCTTTTCATCTACTGCAAGTAATTTATCCTCCTTTGGCCTCAGTCTTCTTATCTGTTAAAGTTAAAGGAGAGTTAGAATAGTTTCAGAAATCACTTTCAGCTCTAGTTTTATGATTCTAAGTGACTACCTCCAAGAATCCATCCAATTGTAAACCCCTCCCCCCTGTAGTTTACAAAGGATTTTACTCCTCATGACCTTGTGAAGTAGAAGATCTTAAGCACACTATTTGATTTCCTAGTGTAGAGTGCTTTCTAAGAAGAAAGGTAGAAAAAATGGATATGTAGAAAAGAGAGGGGAAGAAGAGGAATATAGATAATTCCATAATTTAACACTTGCCTTTGAGAGGTAGAAATCAAAGGAACAAAGTGGGTGGTGGCTATCTTCAGTGGTTCTTAAAAGGCATTCAGTATTTTGTAATTGTGAATCAAATCAACTAGCACTTATTAAGAACTTGTACAGTATATAGATAACATCCAGAACTGCTCAAATAACCACCAATAGGTCTAGATTGTTACACTGGATCCGTTAAGGACTGTCTTTGTGACTTAGGAACACTGGCATTTTTGCATACTACAAAATGAATTCTGGTTCACAGCTTCCGGCATCCTGAGTTCCCTCAGAGTTATAAAGAATTTTCAAAACAAAATTAAATAACCTTCTAATACATATACTATGTATACTTTAAAAAGTACTTTGAAGAATCACAATTTCTTAACAATAGGATGTTACTTGAATTGAATGTATTAAGATTTGGGGAATTGACTAGATTATTTGCTACATGGTATGGAGTAAAGTTTGTTAGTTAATAAATGTTGATGAGACAAATTTTTCTGAAAATTTGTAAAACCAGTGATTTTCTCATTTTAATTCCATTAGTTTTTTTTTTTTTTTTTTAATGTAAATGTTGTGAGCAAGAAATAATGTCAACTCGGGGGCAGCTAGGTGTCATAGTGGATAGAGGTCTGACCTTAGAGTCAGGAGGACCCGAGTTCAAATGTGACCCCAGACGCTTGACACTTTATTAGCTATGTGACCCTGGGCAAGTCATTTAACCCTGATTGCCTCACAAAAAAAAAAAGAGTGTCCCTGCTCCCCTCCTTACCCTGTTCTCTGCTAACCCACTCTGTGGATCTCTTTATATTTCACAGAATTATCCCTTGAGGTTTCACAAAGGGACAAAAACCTTTTAATTTTTTGCAAAAACCAATTAGCATAAAATAACCATGCCAAGCACATCTGCTTTCTTTGTATGTTTTATAAGGAATAGGGAAAATTTACTTGAAGTCAGACGATATCTCTTCTTTATTGAACTGTGAAAAAGTGACTTAATAGGATCATTGGTTTAGAGTTGGAATGGACCTTAGAGAGCTCCTCTCATTTTCCAGATAAGGAAACTGAAATACAGAAAGGCCAAATGCCTTACTCAAAGTCCAGTGGGTTGTTGCAGAGCTAGGATGCTAATACAGATCCTTCAACTCAAATGCATTACACTTTCTACTACTATGTAGAGGCTACCAAACCAGGACAATGTTCAGTATGCACAGATGGGACTTGATTCTAAATCCTCCCTTCTAGTTTTTCTGTGTCTGTTCATTTTTAATTTCTATAGGATTTCTTCATATCTACAAAAAATCTCAGTATTGTTAGCAGAACATTGTATGGAAGAGTTCTTTTCTGAGGTCTTTAAAAAAGGATTCAACATTTCTTTGGGTTTGAATTCCACCTTACAGCTCATGTGTAACCTAGGCAAGTCACTGAATCTCTGTCTCAGTTTCTTTGTAAAATGAGGGAGTTGGACTAAATAATGTTTAGTGTCCCTTTCGGCTTCATAGTCTGTGATACACTCTTTTGATCTCAGTGCTGAAGCAGAAAGATCCCTGGATTTGGAATCAGGAAACCTGGATGTGAATCCTGTTTTTGACACCTATGTGGTCTTTCTGAGCCTCATTCTCCTTAACTGTGTAATGGAAAAGATAATAGTTGTTATCTATTACATGTCTGTTTTGTAAGGAAAACGTTTTAAGGGACAGTTGCAAGGGAAATGCTTGATAAATCCCATAGTGCTGTGAAGTTATAAATTGCCCTTGTTTTATTAAATTTAAAAGCAAAATGATAGTTGGGAACAAAATATATGCTACTATATCTTTAAAACTACATGCTTTATTGTTGTTGTTTTTTTTCCTTTCACTTGCTAGTCGACAGCAGGAAATAGAAGAAAAACTCATTGAGGAAGAAACAGCGAGAAGAGTGGAAGAACTTGTGGCAAAACGAGTGGAGGAAGAATTGGAGAAAAGGAAGGATGAAATTGAGCGCGAAGTTCTCCGAAGGGTAGAAGAAGCTAAGCGCATCATGGAAAAGCAGTTGCTCGAAGAACTCGAGCGACAGAGACAAGCTGAGCTTGCAGCACAAAAAGCTAGAGAGGTAACGCTCGGTCGTTTGGAAAGTAGAGACAGTCCATGGCAAAACTTTCAGTGTTGGGTTGTGCCTCCTGCTCAGTTCAGAAAGAGATGGAATACAGACTATCTAATTCCTTTCTCATATAAACTTGCATTGCTGCGGAAGTTAATTTTTAGCCTATTCAGAAGAGCTGACTGATGCTTTAAACAGTTATTCTCCTAAAACCTATTCAAGGATACTTGATTTTAATGGAACTGGCCTACATATTTGAGAAGTGTTTGAAACTTTTGCCATGGCTGCAGGACCTACAACCAATCCTTTCTTTTTTTTCGGGGCGGGGGAAGAGGAGGGTTGGAGACTTGGTAAAGGGAAAAGGTTAAACTCCACCTGTGGTTATGCATTCTTCTTTTCTGTTTTATCATTCTATTTACCTAGACTGTGAGAGGCTTCTTGCCTTCAGTCAGTTTAAAAAGAGCAGGGCCCAGCTTTGAGCGAGAGCACCTGCTTTTGACAAATAGGTTTTCTTATTCTTCTTTTTTTCCCTTTAAAAAAAAACAAACTTCAAATCTTGCCTCAACACAATGGATTAATTCTTGGCATTCTGATCCTTAAGGCCCTCCACTATCCTAATGTGTTTCAAAGAATCTTTTTAGGAAAAATGTCCAGATTATTATCCATTTTTTTAGTATCTACTAACAACTCCTTTTTTCTCTAGAGAGTTATGAAGGAACAGGTTGTCCTTGTCTGGAGTCAAGCTAAACACATGATTTGTTTTATCAGCAGCTGGAGCAGAAGTTGAAAATGTCTTTCTGTGAGACAGTAATTTGCTACTTAAGTCTCTATGGCTTGTTTGCACCAATTACTCCAGATTTCTAAAACTTCTAAAAAGTCACTGAGACTTTTGAGGCAAAACTATAGCACTGAGTGATACTCCACTTATGTTGGCAGAAATGAAAATGACTCTTTACTACAGAGAACTCTGTAGTGGTTTGTTCTTAAATTTCTGTGGCTAATAGTCACTCTTAATCTTGATGTTTTCTGGTTATACACAATAGAATACCAAATCCTATTTGCTTTTAACTTAAAAGCTATTTTAAGTTTTCTCATGTTAACTTTGCCAAGATCAACACACAGTTCTCTGCTTACAGTGGATTTCAGTTAATTCCATAGGTCTTATGTGCGTAAAATTTGTTAAATGTGGTATATATCAGTGCTTTTAATAAGATGTTGTTTTTGGAGTAATAGTGCTGTCTTGTAGCGAGTTACCAATCATAGTAAGATTTTTTTTCTCTTCATGTGCTTGCTTTGTTTCATATTAACAATTTTTTTTCACACGGACACAATCCTCTGACAGTCTTTCCAAATACTAAAATCATGTATGCTGTAAACTGAACACTGCCCAAACCATCATGCAGTATTCATATAGTTTGCATAACAAAATTTCATTAAATTCTCCAAGAAAAATAAATTACAGAACTTTATTTCCTGACCATGCCTCCCCTGGATTCCTGAATTCCAGTTCAAACTGTAGATGACAATTTAAGCTGCCTTAAGAAATTGTCAACATACTGAATGTTAAGTCCATTTTCCCCATGGAAGAAGCCCTTAGTTCCATGAAGTATGGATTACCATTTGTATTTTTCACTAACAGTAAATGTATTTTTCTTATTAATTGTTTGCCTTAGGAATGATGAATTACATTTTTTGTTCCTTCTTACCATAAACATCTGCATTCCTCAGCTCAGCCTTCCTTGTATGTTGTTTCTTTATAAATGGTTGAGCTGCTGATGCAGGTATTGCCAAGCTAACAGTACAAATCATTTTAAAGAGGAAGCTGGCGCGTATGGCAGCCGAGGAGCACACTCTGCAGGACACTGGACAAGACAGTAAATATTCAACTTTTAATGCTGATTAAAGGAGTATAGGTAAAGAATACGTAGGTATACATAATTGGTGAGACAAATATTCACTTTATTTATATTTTATATATTATTTTTTTAATTTGGTAAATACTATCCAGTTTTGTAGTTGTCCTTGTTGATTTGTGTGATATTAAAGTATTAGTAATAACTATCAGGAATCTATGATTAGGGAGGGTTTAGTTGGTTGCTGTTTGGACTGGGAGGGATGATTTAAATTTAGTACTAGAACCAATTTTAGTGGCTGCACAGTTTACCATTTGTCAGACAAAAGGTGGCTATAAAGCTGCCCTGTAAGTCAGTTCACAAAAAAAGTTCAGAGGAAGATTAGTAAAGATGCACAAATAAAAAATACTTTACTTTTCTAACATCTTACCATGTCCTCCCCTTTAGGAGGAAGAGCGTGCAAAACGTGAGGAACTGGAGCGAATACTGGAAGAGAATAATCGAAAAATTGCAGATGCACAAGCCAAACTGGTATGTACCTTAAAAAATCCATAAATGGAAAGAATGCTTATGACATGTAAACCTCTAGGGCTCCAAACCAGTTGTCATGCTCATTTTTGTTTGTGGTGAGGGTTTACTCCCTATAATTTGACACATTTGACCAAGGCTTTAGAGGCTTGGAGTAGACTCAGATAATAATAATGATAATAGCTAACATTTATATAGAACTTAACTGTGTGCTAAACACTGTTCTGAGAACTTTACAATCAGTAGTTCATTTGATCCTCACAATAACCCTGGGAGATTAGTGCTGTTATTATCCCTGTTTTACAGATGAGGGAACTGAGGCAAACAGAGGGTCCTGGGTCACACAGCTAGGGTCTCTTGCTAGATTTGAACTCGGGTCCTCCTGACTCCAGGGCTGGTACTCTTTCCACTATACCACCTAGTTGCCCCTGCTAGTTGCCTCTTGATGGCTAGAAGTTCCTTAAGCAGGGGACAATCATTAAGGTTTCAGCCAGCCCCTAGTCCAAGACTCTAACTCTCTTCCTCTCCCTCCCAAAGTAATCTGTGTAATTTGGGATCAAGCAAAGAACTTACTGGATTCAGTATAGATTACTTTCTCTTAACCTAAATCCTAAGGCCTCATTGGACTTAAGATGCTAAAAGCAACTTCTAAGGAACAAAACAAAACTAGTTAACTTATTCATTATAGGATACCAAGATTTTACGTTTTCTATTTGTTTTATAATTTGATCAGTTGAGTCTAAATAGACAGCTTTTGTAAAAGTCAATGCAATAATCTTTAAGGGGAAATACATTTTTTAGTCCTTTGAATATTGAGATTTTAGAGGCTAATTTTTCAGAGTGTTCATGAGAACTATTTTAGGACTATAAATATAATCGATTCACTTCAGTCATGGAGAGACTGTGTTTTCTTTTCTTTTTTTTAAACTAGGCAACGGGGTTAAGTGACTTGCCCAGGGTCATGCAGCTAGTAAGTGTTACGAGTCTGAGGCTGGACTTGAACTCAGGTCCTTCTGAAGCCAGGGCTGGTGCTCTATCCATTGTGCCACCTAGCTGCCCCAAGACTGTGTTTTCTATAGAAAATACTTTGGTCTGATGAGATGAGAGGGCTATCTCAGGTTCAAGTAGAAATCCTGTCATTGGACAGAAAAGGGAATTTAGAAATTGCCTAATCTAACTCTGTCACATTACAGATGAGGAAATTAGGGCTCTGAAAAGTTAGGTTTCCTGCCTGTGGGTACACACGTAGACTACCGTTAAATGGCAGAGTTGGAATTTGAAACCAGAGTATCTCAGAAAGGGCACGTTTACATTGTTGGCCGTGAAAGGAACTTAGACCAGCAGCTTATTTGGATAGGCTGTGGGACAAGTGCAACTTTAGTTCCCAAGTTTCTTCTGAGTTTACAGTAAAACAGAAGAAATATGGAAAATTTCTTAAATTACAAAAATGTTATATAAAAGACTTTTAGGGATCATGTAATCTAGTATTTTCATTTCATATATAAAGAAACTGTCTTGCCTAAAGTTATAGAGCAAGTAATTGAGAGTGCTAGGACTTGAACCCTGATCCTCTCATTCTTGCACTTTTTGTTATTACAGCTAGGTCCAGATTTTTGTGAATAATAAATCCCTTGATGTGGTTGCATGTATTTGAATTGATGCTTTTCTAAGTTATAATTATGTAAAATATGGTAATTAATTCCAACCCAGTGGAAATACGCAGTGTAAATTCAAATAATGTGACTCTAGTACTTCAGGGGATCACTAATCGGAATTTAGCTGTGCACGAAATCTGGTTCCCTGGGTACCATTCCTTTGGGCTTTGTGTTTTGCTTAGAGTCCTGGGAATCAGGAGGGAAAATAGTTTGCTTCAAGAGTTTATGCAATAAGCATTTATTTAGAATCTTTTATGATTATCATAATTCCTGTGGGTTTGTTGTTTTTTTTTTTTTTTAAATAAGATGCAATTCCTTCTCCTTCCCACCACCTAGGATTTAGATTTATTTGAGTAGATTGGGAAAATGTTCTAAAAGGGAGGATGAGTTATGTCCTTTAGTTGAAACTAAGGAAAAGCCTTTTTATGAGGTTAGAAGAACCTAGTCAGATCAGAGAGACTGTTGGAAAATACTAAGAGAATGTTGGGGAGATAGAGTGGAAATATAGTTGATTGAGGGTCTAAAATGTCAGCCTGAGCAGTTTGAAATACTCCAATGCCTTTTGAATTGATTGAATTTGGGTTTAATATTATAGATAATAAGTGGTTTGTGTACTGGACAGGAGAAACCTAGCTATAGAGAGACCACACAAGAGTGACTATCAGTATTACCATGATAGGGCAATGAGAGGTTGGGATTTGGAAGTAAGAGGATAAGCTGGAAGTTGAGGAATTATCCTAGAAAAAGAGGTGGGGAACTTTTGGCCTGAAGGCCACATGTGGCCCTCTCGGTCTTCACATTCAGCCCTTTGACTGAATCCAAACTTCACAGAACAAATTCTCCTTAATAAAAGGATTTGTTCTGTGAAACTTGGACTCAGTCAAAAGGTTGTACCCAAGGACCCAGAAGGCCACAGGTTTCCCACCCTTGTCTTAGAAGGGTGGAGTGACTGCTGTCTGCTGTAAGGAAAGAGTATTCCTAAATTGCTGACTGGCAAGATTGATGATGGCATTGACAGTTAATAAAGAGGTTAATCAGTAGTTGACAGAGTTAATGCCTCCTGTACTGTGTGCTAGGCACCTTATAAGGCACTGGTAATTTAATGGTTTTGAAGATATACGAGTTTGATAGCATGACCTTTTAGTGGAGGGTATCCTTTTTGTCTGCTGGAGAAATGGGGCTGAAGAGCATGTGAGAATTAAGTTAATCAGGCTTGTTGTTCAGTCATTTTCAGTCATGTCTGACTCTTTGTAACCCCAATTTGGGGTTTTCTTGGCAAAGATACTGGAGTGGTTTGACATTTCCTTCTCCATTTTACAGATGAGGAAACTGAGGCAAACAGGGTTAAGTGGCTTGCCCAGGGTCACACAGCTAATGTGTGTCTGCTGCTAGATTTGAATTCAGGAAGATGAGTCTTTCTAACTCTAGGCCTGGTGCTCTATTCTCCTAGCTGCCTCAATCAAGTTTATTTAAGTGCTTCATATGTATGAGGAATTGTGCTTAAGTGCTGGGGATACCATGAAAGGCAAAAAGTAAGGGATAGAGATTTGAAGGAAGCCTTTGAGTAATGACATCTCTTCTCACAACCCTGTGAGATGGCTAGTACAAGTATTATCCTCATTTTACAGACATTTGAGTTACATGACTGAATCAGAAAAGATTCAAAACCTGGGTTTTATGACTTATCTCTTCTGCTATCTCTTCTACATCTTTTCTTTTTAGTGTTTGGTTTGTTTTTTACCACTGTACCTTAGCTTTGAATACTCTTATTTTTGAAAGACACTTGCATGGAATGTTAATTTAAGTTATATAGGAGGAACAGGTAGTAGGAAGCTAAAGAAGATAAAGGACCCTGCTGTGTGTATATCTGGTCAGCATCTAGTCTTATTAGGTAAGTAGGTGTATCTCTTTAATACCATATAGTGCAGAATAGGAATTGGTCTGATAAAATGAAACCCCTGAAGATAATTTAATAGAAATTATAGTGAAGCAGATTTTGGCTCCATGTAAAGAACTTAGTAACAGTAAGAGTAATATGAAAAGAAAATAAGCTGCCTTGTTAAGTGATGATAAGTTCCTGTCAGTAGAAGCATTCAAGCATAGGTTTTATGACTACTTACCATGGCTAGTTGTATAGAGAATTCCTTCATTAGGCATCAAGTAAAAGTAGATAACTCTGGAGTCTTGTTGAGTTTTAAAGTTTTTAAGCATGGCACAAAGACTTTGCTTGGTCAGGTTCAGATAACCAATTTAAGAGTGGTTCTCTAATTTAACTGAGCAAAAAAAAAGGATTAAAATGACACATAACATATCTGACATTTGACAGCAATGTTAACTTGTAAACCAGATAGAAGAATCTAGACCAGTCATAGGATCCTAGATCCATCTGTTTGAGGTGGAATTTAACCCAGGTCCTTTAAAATGTTTGAAGTCTGAGGCTAATAATTAAAAGTTTACATTTAGCATTATTCTTCCATTCACTGGTAACTTTTATTCAGCTTTATAAATGAGAACAAGTTGGAGAAGGATAGATGAGAATAATAATAATAGCTGACAATTCTATACAAATTTTAAAGTTTTGGGGTTTTTTTTTGTTTGTTTGTTTGCTTTTTTTTTGGTGAGACAATTGGAGTTAAGTGATTTGCCCAAGGTCGCACAGCTCGTAAGTGTCATGTGTCTGAGGCCAGATTTCAACTCAGGTCCTTCTCACTCCAAGCCCGGAGTTATATCCACTGTGCTACCTAGCTGCCCCAGTTTTAAGGTTTTCAAAGCACATTTTACTTACCCAACAACTCTTGATATCAGTGCAATTTTTTCCCCCATCTTATAAATGAGGAAATTGAGACTAAGAGAAATTAAGTGACTTGCTTCAGTGTTACACAGCTAGTAAGTATCTGAAGTGTGATCAGAATCCTGGTCTTCCGAAACCCAAATCTGGTGCTCCTGTGCCTCTTTGGAGGATAGATTTAACATTCAAAACGTTTCAGCATAGAAATGTCAGTTAAACCTAATTGGGTGAAATTTAATATGGATAAATGTAAAGTCATAGTTGGACTTAAAAAATTACAACTGCCCAAGTAAGGATGGAGATTTAAGAAAGATTAACCTCAAGAGGGAAGATTTACAGTGGTTGTATTTTGCAGTTGAAAAGAAACTCTCCTTTAGAACATTTAGAAAACTGCATTATTAAACTGTGTTTAATAGATTTGGGGGTTTTAATGTACTACAGGGTTAATGTGAATAAACAGTATGGCCTAGCTCCCCAAAAATGTATACAGTGTTCAGAGTGAGGAAGATGAAAGTCCT